TTTACAGGCCTGGCAATGCTATAGGGCAGTTCTACCCTGCCCTGTAGAGTTACTAAGAGTTGAAATCAACTAGCTGGCAATGAATTTGATTTGTTTGGTTTTATTATATTTTCACTTATGAAAGTAATTTGCTTACATGATGAAAGTATTTTATTTCATAAAATAATTTTCATAATTTATGTATTATATCTCAGGAGAAAATTACGTGAACCACACTTTAAATGAACGATTTTATTAAATTCAATGACCTAGTCCACAAATTACAGCAAAAAAATACAAATGGGTACAGCATTTCATAAAATAAAATTCTTCAGCATACGTCCCAGATATAGGGTACTATGATATAAGATTTTTATCACCATAGTTAGTACAAGGAAAGGTTTTATATGATTACAAGATCCCTGAGTAGAAACTCTGGTAAAGTATAGGATGTATTGCTGTTGTTGTTAAGTGTTATGGGGTTGGTTCCAACTCATTGCGACCCTGTATAGGGTTTCCAAGGAGTGGCTGGTGAGTTTGAATCACTGACTTTACAGTTCAAACCAACCTTGCAATCCAGTGCTTATCCTACAGCGCCACACCAGGATGTATGCTGTTGCTGTTGTTAAGTGATGTCCAATCAGTTCAGACTTATAGCACAGTGGTTACGAATCAGGCTGCGAGCCACAAGGTCAGCAGTTCGAAACTACCAGCTGTTCCGTGGGAGAAAGATGTGGCTTTCTGCTCCCATAAAGATTTCCAGCCTCAGAAACCTTGTACAGGGTCGCTATGAGTCAGAACCGACTCCACGGCACATAACAACAACAACACAGGGTTTCTGAAAGGAGCTCTGGTAGCGTAGTGATTATGAATCGGGCTGTGAGCCGCAAGATCAGCAGTTCAAAACTACCAACGGTTCCGCGGGAGAAAGATGAGGCGGTCTGCTCCCATAAAGATTTACAGCCTCAGAAACCCTGTGTGGGGTTGCTATGAGTTGGAACCGACTCCACGGCACATAACAACAACAACAGGGTTTCTGAAGAACAACTGGTGAGCTTGAACTGCCAACCTTGTAGTTCAAACTGTGCAGTTCAGCACATTAACCCACAGTGCCACACCAGGATGTATTTGTTGTTGTTGTTATTTGCCATTGAGCTGATACCGACTCATAGCAACCTTATGCACAGGAGAATGAAACACTGCCTGATCCTGGGCTAACCTCACCTTTGTTGCTACGCTTGAGCCCATTGATACGGCCACTCTGCCAATCCATCTCGCTGGGGGGGTGGGGAGGTCTTCCTCTTTTTCTCTGACTCTCCACCGTATCAAACATAATATCCTTCCCCAGCGACTGGTCCCTCCTGACAACATGTCAGAAGTATGAGAGATGAAGTTTGGCTATACTGGCCTCCAAGGAGCACTCTGGCTGCATTTCTTCCAAAACAGATCTGTTGGTACTTTTGGCAGCCCATGGCACTTTCAGTATTCTCCTCCAACACCATAACTCAAAAGCATCAATTCTTCTACAGTCTTCCTTTCGCATGCATATGAGGTTACTGAAAATGGCTTGGGTCAGACACACCTTAGTCTTCAAGCTGACATTTTTGTTCTTCAACGCTTTAAAAAGGTCTTGTGCAGCAGATTTGCCTAATGCAATACATCACTTGATTACTTGACTGCTGCTTCCATGAGTGTTGACAGTTGATCCAAGAAGAATGAAGTCCTTGACAACTTCAATCATTTCTCTGTTGATAAGAATGTTGTTTATTGATCTAATGGTGAGAATTTTTGTTTTCTTTACATTGAGATGCAATCCATATCAAAGGCTGTGCTCTTTGATCTTCATCAGTAAATGTTTTAATTCCTCTTCACTTTCAGCAAGCAAGGTTGTATCATCTGTGTAGCTCAGATTGTTAATGAGTCTTTCTCCAATCCTGATGCTCCATTTTTCTTCATAGAACCCAGCTTCTCTGATTATTTGCTCAGCATACAGGTTGAATAAGTATGGTGAAAAATACAACCCTGTCACACACCTTTCTTAATTTTAAACCATTCAGTGTTCCCATGTTCTTCTCGAACAACTGCCTCTTGGTCCATTACTGTCTTTAGATGATGGATATATTCTCTAGCTCCGCTCACAGTTCCCACCACTCTTTATTATATACATGGGCTGCCTGGCTCCTATGTATAATCAAGCCAAGGAACACTTTAAAATAAAGCATCCACCTTTCATATTATTGCCAGTCACTTTGATATCCAATCTAAGAACCGCTTTTTCAACTAATTGACCATCATAACTTCAAAGGTGTGAGAATATATTAGATTAAATACAGTAATACCTGAGGTTTCTAAGTGCTTGACGTTTAGAAAGCAGTACCTCATATTCATCTCACTTGATCTAACAAGGGCATGGACATGTGAGCTAGATTTTCACCGTATAATGACACACTGGGAAGTCAGTCAGTCATTTTTGGAAGGTGTGGGAACTCTCTACACCTGCTAGAATATCCTTTTGTTTTCTGAAGCAGTACTTTACTAAGTGCTGTGGTACAGTGCTAAGTGACTAAACAGTAATCCAGTGATTTGAGAGAGTACCCGAAACCCTGAGAGGTGCCAGGTCCAAACTGTGCATACGCAGCATGAATTAAAACCCCAGACATTAATTCTGCTCACTTGTTACTCTGTTTACTCTGAGTTGTTTCCAAAGAGTAAGAATTTCAATTTGGGATTCTAATCGGATATTGGAGATGTGGCACTGGGGGATAATGCACTGTACTGCAAGGTAGGTTTGAACCACACAGTTGGCAGTTCAAGCTCCCTAGCCGCTGCTCAGAAACCCTAAACAGGGTCACTATTAGTCGGAACTGACTCGAAGGCACTTGACAACAACAACAAACCCGATACTAAACAAAATCTGGTTCTATGAGTAGATTGTATGGGAGTAGTGGAAATCTCTTTAATATTGAATTGGTTGAAAGGGTCAAATCAAAATGCTTGATGAAAATTCAATTTACTATATATGAAGGCATAGCCTTAGGACTTAGAATAGAAAGTAATGACTTACTTTGTACCAAGTGGAGATGTTTTACACTCTAATCTATGTAACATAGATTGGAATGAGAGATCCTGTACAGTAATGAAATCAACTGTCCTCTAAAGCTTGAAAAGCTAATCTTATTACCTCCTGGTCACACTAAATATTTTCTAATTTCTGTGTTTTGTTTTAACATTTGAAAATTTCTGGAATTTGTTTTAAATGGCAACTTCAAATATCTGAGTTGTTTCTCAGCAGCACATAGAAATTTGGTGTTGGTGGTGGGAGGGTCCTATCAATTTCTGCCAATACATTTGAGCAGCAAAACCTAGATCATGTAATACGGACTCCTACGTAAACAGGGGAGAATGCACCTCTCTGGAGACATTCAGTGAAATACTATTTCTGTGCTCTTTATTCTGTGTGGATTTCTTAAAAATTAACAGACTGATTTTTCCACAATGCATTTAATAAAATCTAAGTGGATCACTATTAAATAAGATGAAACTGAAATTAAGATTTGTTTCCTTCCTTTATTGTAAGATGTCTGGATACAGCAGTGGTTAAAGTGACTGGCTCCTAACTCAACAGTCAGCAGTTTGAATCTACTAGCTGCTCCGCAGAAGAAAAATGTAGCATTCTGCTTCTATAAAGATTTACTGTCTTGGAAATCTTATAGGGTTGCTGAGTTTGAATTGACTCGATGGCAGTGGACTTATATAGTGTAAACAGACTTGTCTTAATTCTGTCAGTATAACTAAGACTTTTCATGGTACAATTTTTGAGGATGATTCTGAAAAAATGATCTGGGTCACTACGAAAGAATTCATTAGTAACTCCTGGTTAGATTTCTTTCCATTTTGCACATATGATACTAACATACTTTACAACTTCATGCAGAGTTTGAGAGACTGGTTAGTTCATGCTGAACCACTAATTTTGAAAAGCCCATATTTCAAAAAGAGATAGAAAAACAGTAAATCTACTCCATAAACTGGAGTTCTTTGTTACAGGCACCTAACATTTGAAACAAATTTATATTTTCTCATTCTTCTGTATTGCATTCAATAACTGTTTAATAAATGCTTGCTGAATTAGCTAGATGAAAGTTTGCAAGCATTTATACAGGTGCATTACTGTGTACTCTGAATTTGGAAACATATTAATAAGGCAAGTCTCTTTCAACTAATGAAAAATTTTGAATTGCAATGCAATAACTACCAATTTCATCTATATGCTATTCATTGATTGGGAAAAGTCTTATTTGTAACTCTGAGGGAAAAAAAAATCAGTTTGATGATGTTATTCATTTTACAACACAATAAAGTCAGTAATATAAAATCTCATTATAGTAAAGTGTTTGGTGAATTGCTGGACAATGTAATTTTATTTGATTATTATGGAGGTGATTAGACTTAGAAGCAAAGAAAGACTGGTCATGCTCTAAGGCCATGTATGGAGTCTTGGTGTGGCACTGTAGGTTAATGCACTGGGCTGCAAGGTCAGTTTGAACTGCAAGGTTGGTGGTTCAAGCTCACCAGCCGCTCCTCAGAAACTATATACAGGATTGCTATGAGTTAGAACCAATTCCACAGCATACCACCACCACCACTTCTCACATTATCAGCTATCGCATTATACGATAATTATTTATGGCGATAGTAAAAAAAATCTACTACCTATGTGTTCACATTTAACACAAACACCTGGCAGTAATTAACATAAGGTGGTAGGCAAGAGTAGTACTGGTAATGATGGTTGCCTTACTGGACCATGATTCTCTGTGGTTTGGTAATTGTGTAGTGATGTATTCTTGCTCCATTTTGTGCAGTGATGTGGTCTTCCTCCATTTTTACATAATGCCAAATTATGTATAATGAATTGATCTTTGGAATCATGTGCATAAGTGAGTAGTGTGTATATATAGAATATTTTTAAGAGAGCTGGTATATCTCTAAAACTGTCTATTATTCTACATATACATTACCATTTCTTAGAAAGGATCTCCGTGACTGCCCTCCGTTGAGTGGAGGTAAGGTCTTCTTTTCCTGGCTGACAAATGTGTCCCATTTCACCTTGTCACAGCCACCTAGCTCCTTGACTTTCTGTAAACAATTTTCCAAGTACTCTACTGGGTCTTCAGGCTTAGAACACATCAATCCATTCAAAAGGCTCTGAAACACAGCAAAAATATATTCCCAAATAAAACGTTTTAAAAATACTTTGATTAAAGTCTATCTCCTGTCTTTGAAATCACACTTAGGTTCTTTTCATTTGCATTTAAATAAACAGAGTTGAAAGTGAGTAAGATTAACTCCTCAAATTCTTGACCAATTAGTTTTCAGATTGGACTTTTTAAGCAATTTAGGCAATTACATATTTTTAAAAGGCACATATCAAAGTTAAATAAAGGGTAGCATTTGAAATTGCCCCCCACTTATTATTTATCTCACTCCTACTCATTCTTAGGAGTCCTGATGTGGCACTGCAGTTATGAAAAGCACTGGGCTGGAAGGTCAGCAGTTCAACTCCACTAGCTCCTCCTCAGAAACCCTATACAGTGTAACTATGACTTGGAATTGACTTGACACCACTGAACAACAATTCATTCTTAAATATCCACATCCAGTTACTTCATGGACGTGATTGTAAATGGAGATAATAACTACCTCATTGGGGTGTGGGTTTTTTGTTTTTTGAGAACTGAATGGTAATTTACATGGGAGAACATCAGCTTTATACCATTGTTTCATTGCAAAGATTATAATCGCCTCCGTGCATCATCATTCAACAATATTTGCTTCTATTCCCTCTGTTTTTCTTTCTTTTTTTTGCGGGGGTGAGGGTGTGGGGGGGTGGACGAGATATACACAAACACACTCAGGAATATATAATAATTTAAACAACCAAAGGGCACATTCTGCAAGCCTGCCT